TTCAAGCCCCAGGGCTGACATAAATAAAAAGGGAGGAGGAGGAGGAGGAGGAGGAGGAGGAGGAGGAGGAGGAGGAGGAGGAGGAGGAGGAGGAGGAGGAGGAGGAGGAGGAGGAGGAGGAGGAGGAGGAGGAGGAGGAGGAGGAGGAGGAGGAGGAGGAGGAGGAGGAGGAGGAGGAGGAGGAGGAAGAATTGTAAGTGAATTACAAGAAACAGATGAAAATAAGTGATTGGAAGATAAACACTAACCAGGCTCTGGTTGATAAGCTTGTAGTGTTCTGAAAAGGGGTAAAGAAGAATGCTGAGGTTATAAATATACTTTAAAAAATCATTTTGAAAACTTTATTTCCACATCATTATAGATACATAGGAAGTTTGTTGTCACTTGTCTGAGAGATAGCTTTAGAGGGTTAACTTCTCTGGATATTAGATTGGTGTTTGCTCTGACTCTAATACTCTGTCGTGATTGCCCATATAAAGGTTTGAGTTCTTCATTCATTATTTAAGATATGCAAAAACATATACTTTAGGATAAACATTTAAAACACTTAAAAGTCTAGATGTGTTTAATGTGAAAAATGCATTCAAACCATAATCAGATTCTGAGAGAAATCAATGTCCTGACAGAAAGTGATTGATCTTAAAGTATTTCATAAAGAATTTGTAGTCTCAGCTGGCCACCAGTGTCTCATGCCAGTAATCCTAGCTACACAGGAGGCTGAGATCTGAGGATTCTGATGATTATGGTTCAAAGCCAGCCCGGGAAGGAAAGTTCATGAAATTCTTATTTCCAGTTAACCTAAATGCGCGTGCGCGCGCGCGCGCGCGCGCGCGAGCACACACACACACACACACACACACACACACACACACTCACAGAAATGAAGCTGTGGGTCAACCGGTAGAACATCAGCCTTGAGTAAAAAAGCTAAGGCATAGTACCTAGGCCCAGAGTTTAAGTCCAGTACTGGTGCATACACACATAAAAAATTGTATACTGTTTTAGGAGATCAAAAATTATGAAATAGGGGCTGGGAAGGTGGTTCAGTGGTAGAGTGCTTGCTTTGCATGCATGAGGCCCTGGGTTCGATTCCTCAACACCCCATAAGCAGAAAAAGCCGTAAGTGGTGTTGTGGCTCAAGTGGTAGAGCACTAGGTTTGAGCTGAAGAGCTGAGGGACAGTGCCCAGGCCCAGAGTTCAGGCCCCACAACCGACCAAAACCGACCAAAGTAGAAATAACTCAAATGTCCATAAATAGGGAATCAGTAAAATAAATTATAGGTGATTATAATATGTATACATATTAGAATTCTAAGTACATGTACTTAATGGTATATAGTTATTTAAAGGAAATGCAAGGGTTTGGCATTCCGCTTTTAAAAATACTATGTAACAAACCTGAAGTCTTTTTTTTGAAGTCTTGAATATAACTCTATATATGTATGAATTATAAACTGACTAAGTGTTGTTACACTTTTTTGTCTTCTTGAACTCAGAGCAGTGTGTGATAGGGTTAATCACTCATCATTATTCAAATTCATTCTGGTCTATGCATTCCATTCTTGCTTTTCTGTGATGTCATGTGCTCTGGATTTTCTTCAGTTTATTTTTCATCCTTTATTTTCCCTCTCTGACAGACCTCTGTGAATGCAACGTCCTGTGGCCTGGTGTTGAATTGCACTTATTGCTTTGCCTTTACGTTCTTCTAAAATAATCTTATAGGGCCTGCTGGCTTTAAAAACCATCCTCGTGTTTACTTGAGATTAGTATCTCTGATATTCTCCTTTCTCTTTACCTAGAGACTCTTTTACTCAATTTTAATGCAATGTTGTCACATGAATGTCTAATAGAGCTCCCAGAATTCAAGTTACAATAGTATTCTGATTATTGCCCCTTTGTCTTTGTGTGTGTGTATGTGTGTGTGTGTGTATCTATGTATGTGTATGCCAGTATTGGGGTTTGAAGTCAGGACCTATGAACTGTTACTTAGCTATTTAGCTCAAAATGGGTGCTCTACCATGTGAGCCACAGCTCCACTTCCAGCTTTTTTTTGTAATTTATTGGAGATAAGAATCTGATAGACTTTCTTGCACAGGCTGGCTTTGAATTGTGTGCCTCAGATCTCAGACTCCTGAGTAGCTAGAATTACAAGCATCTGGCTTTCTTTTGTCTGTTAACCTAACCAACTTTCTACTCAATCAATTTTCCCTAGTCTATTGTACCTTCTTTCTGTTTGGTAGACAAATCGAGCTCATCCTTAACTCAGGATCTTGCTTTTTTCTAGTCCCACTCCTTGGAATGGGTGATCTCAATTTTCTTAATTGTCATTGAATTTATTTTGCATTTATTTCATGCTCATCAAAACCTGGATTAGTCAAGTTAGGAGATTTTTTAATTCCTTTAACAGGTACTACAAGGTTTTAGTTATTACATATTATTTAGCATAGGAGCTAAATAAGATTCACTCTAAGTAGTTTTTAGCTTGGATATGTATTGTAATCACAATTTTTTCCATTAATAAAGGCCATGGCATGAAGCAAGTCCATAAAATGAATTCCAGTGTGGTATATATAGGGCTTCTATTGCTAGTGAATACTTTATCCACTTCTTAACAAAATCATTTTGAAATAGTACTATTCTCAAAACTTCCACTCTTAGATAATTAGATGCTAACTCTCTAATTCTTTTTTTTTTTTTTTTTGTCGGTTGTGGTCTTGAACTCTGGGCCTGGGTACTTGTCCCTCAGCTCTTCAGCTCAAGGCAAGCAGTCTACCAGTTGAGCCACAGTGCCGTGTCCAGTTTTCTGAGTGGTTTATTGAAGATAAGAGTCTCACAGGCTTTCCTGCTCAAGCTGGCTTTGAACCGTGATCCTCAGATCTCAGCTTCCTGAGTAGCTAGGATTATAGGCGTGAGCTACCAGTGCCTGGCTTAACTCTCTAATTCTTAAGTTCAGGTTCCAGTAAGAACTATCATCAGGGTTATCTGTATTGATTTATATTCTGCTTATGTAACTGTAACCCCTCTGATATCACCTTTACAATAAAAAATAATGTTAATCTTAACAAAAGAGGAAAAGAAAATATCAGGCTTGATATGATTTAACAGAATTGCAATAGATTTTAAAACTTCAGATGCTAAATGTCATCTCCTGAGAAAGGCTTTCTCTGATCATCATACGTATAAACAGGAGTTTTACTTTTTGCTTTTACTCTATTCTTAGCATATTTTATCATCTGTCTCACCCATAGAATAAAGTCTCTATGAGAGTAGAGGACCTGCCTATCTTGGTAATACTTGTAACTAGAATACTGAGACAAGTTTTTGGAACATAATAAATGCTTAGTTAGTATTTATGTTCAATAGAGAGCTAGGGTATAGCTCAGTGAGAGAATGCTTGTCTAGAATCAGTAAGGGCTTGGGCTCAATCCTCAGTTCTTCAAAAAGTGCTAAGTAAAATTTGAAGAATATACATCAATGATTGCCTCTGAGTGGGAATAGCATGTGTAAATTATAAACTGATATCCAGTTAGCATTAAATTGTCTGAAATAAAGTATGCTATGTTTCAGGTAGCATTGAATTATTTGAGGTGAAGTGCATTGCTTTCAGCTGGGCGCTCATGAAGATAGGAGTCTCATGGTCTCTCCTGCCCGGGCTGGCTTTGAACCGCGATCCTCAGATCTCAGCCTCCTGAGTAGCTAGGATTACAGGCGTGAGCCACCAGCGCCCGGCTCAGCTGGGCACAGTGGCTCATGCCTACACTCCTAGCTACCAGGGAGGCAAAGGCAGGAAGACTGATGTCTGTGGATGGCCCTGGCAAAATCCCCAGATCTTATTTGAAAAACAACTAAAACAAACAAACAAACACACACACACACAAAAGCAAAAGGGGGGTTGTAAGGGGTCTGGGGTTGTGTCTGAAGTGGTAGAGCATCTACCTAGCAAGCATGGGTCCAGAGTTCAAACTCCAAGACCTCAAACTCCCCTCCCCCAACAAAGAACAAAACCCAATCTTATACAATTAGTTAATAAATCTTTAATTATAACTAATGTCTGATATAGTTTGGATATCTGAGATAAGCGAGAAGATGCACTTAAGTGGAATTGTTTCTTGCTTTATGATGTTACTTAAGTAACATATTAGGACCTATGTAAAATACACATGATTTTTAAAAACCCTGAAAAGTTAAGCAAGAGAATGTCTTACTCCTCTTTTAACACAGTTCTTATTTCCTTTGAATTTTTTTTAATTTATTTTTTATTGTGAAAATACTGTACAAAGGGGTTACAATTACATGGGCAAGATAATGAGTACATTTCTTATCAAGCATTGTAGTCTCCTCCTTTGTTTCCCCTTCCCATCCCTTCCCAGCCTCCCCCCGCCCCCCCCACCCAATCTTCCCCTCCTCCTCCGTGCCCCCCCCCCTCCCGCCACCAAAGTTGTAAAGTTCGTTTTCGACATGACAACGTGTACTTCTCATTGTTGCAATGGGTCCACCTGTATCCTTATTTAAACGACTTGTTTTTCCCCTTTCCCTCCCAAATTTCCTTTGAATTTAAAGTTCCTTTTTCAAAAGGCAAAATCAAATCACTACCTGGATGAATAACTTATGATTGTTTGTCTTTAAATTATATTTTACATCTTTATAAGACATATTCATCACTAACAGGTTTATTTGTTCTTTTTATAGACATTCTAAACTAGTAATATTAGCTGTTGTCCCCTAGTCTGAATGTTAAGTCAACACATGATAGAGAGAATTCCAGGTTATCAAGTATTGCAGGTCTCTGATTGTTTTGGAAGCTCTTCTGATACTATGGACTTAGTTCAAGGCCAGTTGATACCACTTTTTCTTTTTTCTAGTATGATGACAAATGGTTAGTGTTTGCTTTGGTCACTAAGTTCAAGTTATTGGATCAGGGTCCTAAGTATATATAAAGCCTGGCCTTGAGTTTCTCCAGGGACATCTTTGCTTTTCTAATCTTAGATTCTCCTCTTCAGGAGTTCTGCACCAGATTTACAAAAATGATGACCATAACTTTGATCTGGGGGATTGTTATAACAGTGTGCTGTTGCTTATGGATTATTTTTGGAATAAGGAGAAGGTAAGGAATATTTTATTTTCCCTTGAAATTATCTTTTAGTTCATTGTTCTAGTGCTTCTTTGCCTTTATTATTATATTCAATAATTCTGGTCTTGGCTATTTACACAGAATAGTATTTTAGTCTTTCATGTTTTTAGATCAAAATTTTAAATGCTAAATGTATCTTTTTTTTTCTATTTAAATGAGTTGTTGTTTCTTTCTTTTTTTTTAATTTAATTTAATTTTATTTGAGAACATACTGTACAGAGGGGTTACAATTACATGGGCAGGATAATGCATACATTTCTTACCAAGCATTGCAGCCTCCTCCTTTGTTTACCCTTCACCTCCCTTCCCAGCCTCCCCCTTTGTACTGTTTTGTTTTTGGTGCTGGAATCAAATTCAAGGTCTTGCAAATACTAGATAAGAGCAATATCACCGAGGTATATCCCTGGCCCCTAGAACACTAATACCTTTAAACTATGAAGACTTTGAAAACTTCACTGTGCAGTCCTTTGTGCTATTTGTTTTTCTCTCTGCAAAGAAAAGACACACATGAAACAGTTCCGATAGTAGGCAAATTATTCTTTTTTTGGGGCGGGAGGGTCCGGTCGTGGGGCCTGAACTCTGGGCCTGGGCGCTGTCCCTCAGCTTTTCAGCTTAAGGATAATGCTCTACCATTTGAGCCACAGTGCCACTTGCAGCTTTTTTCTTTTTTTGCTTATGTGGTGCTGAGGAATCGAACCCAGGGCCTCATGCATGCAAGGCAAGCGCTCTACCACTGAGCCACCTTCCCAGCCCCTGGCAAATCATTCTTAAAAACGATTGTAAATACTAGAAAGTAGTTTATTCCTCCATATCTTGGGAGGAGGGATGTTGCTGGCTTTGTTGATCCTTTTACCCACATCACTGGGAACAGCATTTAGCACTTAGTAGACCATCAAGTAGTTATTAATTGCATGTGTGACTAGGCAGACAGATGGATGAATTGATAAGCAAGAACAAGTGTATGGATGGATTTAGTAATCATTTTCAGCAAAATAATATTAGGTTATTAAGGTAATAGAATCTGTTATTTTTTTAAAGAACAGGTTTTTTTTATCAACACAATGAGTATTTATGCTTAGCATGGCAATATGCTACTGTAATCACAGCTACTTGGGAGATAGAGGCAGTGGGATTCAGCGTTCAAGGCCAGCCCGGGTAAAGTTAGTGAGACTGTCTCAAAGACAAAATGAAACAAAAAAATGGAATTGGGGGAGTAGCTCAGATTAAGTCCCCAATTTTACACCCCCCCACACATGCACATACACAATGGTACTCATAAAATACAGCAGAATGAAATTTGAGATTATGGTGAAAATTTACAAAAATATAAATATGTAATTTCATATATCTATTGTACATTTGTCTCTTATAGGAAGACAGGTGAACCACCGCTGGAAAATGGGTTGATCCCATATCTTGGCTGTGCTCTGAAGTTTGGGGCCAATCCTCTTGAGTTTCTCAGAGCAAATCAAAGGAAACATGGACATGTTTTTACCTGTAAATTAATGGGAAAATATGTTCACTTCATCACAAATTCCTTATCATACCATAAGGTGTTGTGCCATGGGAAATATTTTGATTGGAAAAAATTTCACTACACTACTTCTGCAAAGGTATTGGATTTTACATTTATACAGATTTTTTTGTCTTAAATATATCTATCTGTTTAGTAATTTGGATATTCTTAGACAATAGAGTAGGGATGTTGAAGAGAGCTAATCTATTGTTGAGATCTTTAGATAAGTAATAAAATCAAGCACCTTAAGTACAAATATAATAAAAACCCAAAGTAGGAACTGGATGCCATGGCTCAGAAGGCTATAAACCTAGCTACTCAGAAGGTTGAGATCTGAGGATCATGGTTCAAAACATTCTGGTCAGAAAAGTCCATGAGGCCCTTATCTCAAAAGACAGACATGGATCTGTGGTTCAAGTAGTAGAACGCCAACCAGACTTGTGGGAATAAAGCCAAGTGTAAGCATGACAGGAGCGTGCGCGTGCACACACACACGCACACACACAGAGAACTGATTAAAGACACTATTGGTTAGTATCAAATTCATGAAATAGAATAATTAATAAGAAAGATATGACTAGAGTTTTAATGAAGAGCTGAGATTTAAACTTGGCCTTATAAGAAGGACATGATTTTGGGGATCTCTTTGTAAATTCCTAAGATGTGATCTGTGGGAAGGCCAAGTGGAGAAGTTTGAAAAGATCTACCTTACTTTTAAGTTGCTTACTAGAACTAGGTCGGGTTCAATTGTTTGTCTTGCGTTTTCTTTGCTCTCAGGCATTTGGACATAGCAGCATTGACCCAAATGATGGAAATACCACTGAGAACATCAATGACACTTTCATCAAAACCCTGCAGGGTGATGCCTTGAATTGTCTCTCAGAAGCCATGATGGAAAACCTCCAACTCGTCCTGAGACCTCCCAACTTTCCTAAATCCAGGAGTGCTACCTGGGTATCAGAAGGGATGTACGCCTTCTGCTATCGAGTGATGTTTGAAGCTGGGTACTTAACTCTCTTTGGCAGAGATCTTACAAAGACAGAAGCACAACGAGCCCAGATCCTAAACGATCTTGACAACTTCAAGGAATTTGATAGAGTCTTTCCGGCCTTGGTGGCAGGCCTCCCCATTCATGTGTTCAAGACAGCACACCAAGCCCGAGAAAAGCTGGCTGAGGACTTGAAGCACGAGACCCTCCGCACCAGGGACCATGTGTCGGAACTGATCCGCCTGCGCATGTTTCTCAATGATACGCTGACCACCTTCGATGACATGGAGAAGGCCAAGACACATCTTGCTGTCCTCTGGGCCTCACAGGCAAACACCATTCCCGCCACTTTCTGGAGCTTGTTTCATATGATTAGGTGACTACCAGCTTCTATTTGTTCCCTTATTCAGGAAGACAGCACAAATTTAACTATTTAAACTTTTTCAAAAAAGCAGAAAGATTGGTAGTGTACTCTCATGCTATCAACATAACAGCAGGCCTGTGGTTTCTCTGTATCAATTCATTGAACCCTCAGAAAAAAAGTAAGCAGAGTTTTAGAAAACGTTGGCAGCCAGACAGAAAGGGTGTCCCTGAAACCACAGAACTTAAATAAGCTGATAGTGGGTGAATTCAGGTCACCTGGCCCAGTGCCCTTGCTCTTAAGTCCACAATGTTCCTCTTAAAGCCAGTTTAAGTTCATAACTACAGTCTTCATATTCACAAAAATACACATGTGATAACTGACATAAGGATTACCATTAATGAAGTGGCCACACATTTATGTGCATTCATACCTTGCTTTCTTCCTCCAGTAGTAATTGACAGCTTACTGTTGATTGAATTGGAATAAATTCATATTATATATAGTAAGGTTGTAACATCAATTTAAAATCATATGGGTAACTTTAGCCATAGTTTCTGATAGTCACAAAATATTTATCAGTCAAATATTTCAAGGACTCAATTCACTTGAATTAGATGGTACAGATTCCTAAGCATAATATCCAGTCATTTAGATGAAGCACTCTTCACTTCACAGTTCAAAAATACAAACAGAAAAATTACTACACATGAAATTGTGGGATGAACTTTTAACAGTAACTTTAAATTTCCATCTGGAATTCAGCTAGTCTTCTGTATTGCTAACTCAGATGCAGTGTTCTTTCCAAAATGCTATGTTTATGACTCATTTGATTTTCCATCCCTTACCAGAATCATTTATTTATTGATGTCTGGTCAATGTTGCCCCTCTAATTCCCTTTCTTGCCAATAGTCAAGGACAGAGACACCGTTATGAATAGACTAGAAGTAGACATGTCTCTTTCTCACCTTAACTCCTTCGTTAAAAGAAGAGGGAATGCTTATGTGCTTGCAGATCACTGAGTATAGACACATTATTTTCTATACTTCTCTTTTAACTTTTAATAGGAATCCTGAAGCCATGAAGGCAGCCTCAGAAGAAGTGAATGAAGCATTGATGAATGGTGGTCAAACACTCAGCTTTGAAGGCAACCTGATTTCCTTAAATCAAACGCAACTGAATGACTTGCCAGTACTAGGTATGCTTCTATGTTTTCTTCCATTCACAGTGGCATGCTAGTAATAATGACAGTCAGCATATTTTATGCCCATCCTGAGGTCTAGACGTTATGCAATGTACCTCATATGATCTTGCTTTCTTAATCTAACAATAATCCTATACCTAGTGGCTATTTCTATGTTTATGTACCAAAACAAAGAAATGGACACCTAGGCAGAAAACTCAGGGACTGAATGGCAGAACTAGTGTCATCAATAATTTGCGACTCTTGCTAGTCTAAGATCTCAACCATAACCCTGTACTCTCTCTGCTTGTACCACTAATCTTATGGTTAAAGTGTGATATTCAAAAAGTCGATTGAAGATAGAGGCTGGAAGGCCAGCTCTTCTCATAAGAGCTCTGTATACAATTGTTCACAAGATAGCTCATTTTGTTCCTTCATGCCTTTACTTGGGCTGTGAAGCATTAAATACATCATCAAATAGTGTGTGTAAACAAATGAATGGAAGACACGTGAAACACATATTTATTATTATCATTGTTATTATTATCTTTAAGTACTTGTACAAAAGAGTTGCCATTTAAGAGAAACACATTTCTATATAAAAGTATTATCCATTTATTTAATTTCTTGAATAATTCACATAAAACTTGAATAACTCACATAAAAACCAGTCACTAAATTTTCAAATTAGCTGTTTAGTGTCATCATATTGAAATGCAATTTATTTTTATAAAATAACGGATATCTAGTTCCCACTGATGAACAAGAAGACTATCACAGTCTAGCATTAATGCTATTAATTCAGGTGGTATTTTAAAGATATCATTTAAGATATTAACTCAGATACCATTTTTATATTGAAATCACTGATAACAGCATAACAGTAATAGAAAAGGGGAAGTTTTCGGTTCTGTTTTTAAACAATAGTATATTGTTAACATCTAAGACACATTTATGTTACATCAGTATTGACAGTATATTTTTATGTGTGCTAATACTGAAGCTTCCTTGAACTTTCATTTGTTTTTTTTTTTTTGCTCAAGGCTGGTGCTCTAAACACTTGATCTAAATCTCCTCTCCCGAAAAGTTAGTCAAGTTTTTCTCTGATCAACTTCTCATTTTTGTTCATCTTCATATTGTAGATTGACAGAAATATTTTAGAGTCTGTATTATGTGACCAGCAAATACTTCAATTATTCTTTCTCTTATTTTTCCTCCTTTCCCCCTCCCCCTTTTTTCTCTTTTCCTTACAAATATTTAGATAGTATCATCAAGGAGGCTCTGCGGCTTTCCAGTGCCTCTCTAAACATCCGGACAGCTAAGGAGGACTTCACTCTGCACCTTGAAGATGGATCCTACAACATTCGAAAAGATGACATCATAGCTCTTTATCCACAGTTAATGCATTTAGATCCAGAAATCTACCCAGATCCTCTGGTAAGTGACTGCTCTCAAAATTCAGTGTTCAGGAGATGCCTATATAGCTCAAAGATGGAAGGGCATTTACAATTGCAGGACAAATTCAATCATTGTACTCATAGGGAATGTCCCTTTAATGATATCAAATATTTATGCATTTTAGGTAAAGTTAGATACTGACATTTTTATCCCTGATGTCTATCATTCCGTAGTCTCTGATAGATTGTATTAGCAGTCATGATAATGAAGATGGCTTTCTTTTTCCTTAAAAACATCTACTCTAAATCCATTGAATTGGAGGTCCAAGTATTGATTCTTCTAGTTTCTGATTCAAATCCTTCCCGATAGTTCTGCCTGATGGAGGAACTTGTTGCTAGGCAAGATAAGGAGGTGCCATAAACTTTTCTCAGTCCATCAGTTCTTATTACATTCTTCTTCCTTTATCTTGTGGTCCAGTGTAGGTTATTTGGGATGTGATTAATGCAGTGGATTAAAAAGGAAAATACTAAGCCAGGCACCGGTGGCTCAGTCCTGTAATCCTAGGTATTCAGGAGGCTGAGGTCTGAGGATCACAGTTTGAAGTCAGCCCAAGCAGGAAAGTCCATGAGACTTTTTTTTATCGGTCGTAGGGCTTGAACTCTGGGCTTGGGCTCTGTCCCTGTGCTCTTCAGCTCAAGGCTAGCTCTCTACTGCTTAAGCCACAGCATCACTTCCGGTTTTCTGGTGGTTTATTGGAGATAAGAGTCTCACGGACTTTCCTGTCCGGGCTGGCTTTGAACCATCATCCTCAGCTTTCAGCCTCCTGAGTAGCTAGGATTACAGGCATGAGCCACCAGCGGCTGGCTTCCACGAGACATTTATTTCCAATAAATTACTCAGAAAAAGCCAGAAGTGGTGCTGAGGCTCAAGTGGTAGAGTGCTAGCCTTGAGCACAGAAAAGGTCAGGTACAAAGCCTCAGGCCTGAGTTCAAGCCCCAGGACTGGCAAGAAAAAACAAAGAAGGAAAGAAGGAAAGAAAGAAGAAAGAAAGAAAGAAAGAAAGAAAGAAAGAAAGAAAGAAAGAAAGAAAGAAAGAAAGAAAGAAAGAAAGAAAGAAAGAAAGAAAGAAAGAAAGGAAGGAAGGAAGGAAGGAAGGAAGGAAGATAGGAAAAGAAAATTGCTGGGAGGGAATGAAGGAAGGGATGATACTGTACAAAAGGAAATGTACTCATTATCTGACTTATGTAACTGTAATCTCTCAGTATATCACCTTTATAATTACAATAAAGTAAATTTTAAAAAGAAAATTACTCTGGAGTTTCCAGGACAAAAAAAGAGAGAGAACTTTCAGATAGCTTTAAGGCTTTCTTTCTTTCTTTTCTTTTCTTCACTGCAGACTTTCAAATACGATCGATATCTTGATGAAAACAGGAAGCCAAAGACCACCTTCTACAGCAATGGAGTCAAGTTAAAGTATTACTACATGCCCTTTGGATCTGGAGCAATGATATGTCCTGGAAGATTGTTTGCTGTTCAAGAAATCAAGCAATTTTTGATTCTGATGCTTTCATATTTTGAATTGGAGCTTGTGGAGAGCCATTACAAATGTCCCCTTTTGGACCAGTCCCGTGCAGGCTTGGGCATTTTACCACCATTAAATGATGTTCAGTTTAAATATAAACTCAAACAATTGCGAAGATGTGCTTAGAAGAGGATAGACAACAATACATTACTCATGCAAGCGCTATCTTTAGTCCCTTGAGACAAATTCAATTAGTGGTCATAGGAATGGTTTGGCAAGTCCAATTCTGCTCACTAATGCTTTCTCATGAATCTAACATTTCAACGACAGTTTCCAGTTGCTATCTCAGGCTAATCCAGTGAGAACTAGTTTCTAGGAACACAATAATTAGTACTCACATGTACAAGTCCGTAAGTGTTTATAGCTAGGAATTGGACTTCATTACTTTTAGAGGAAAATGCCTTTTTTCTTTTTCTCAAAATGAAGATCTTCCAACTGGCATTATTTTTCCTAAGGAAATTGTTTTATTTCTATAAAAAAATCATTCAACAATTACAGAAAAGATTCAAATTCACGTTTTAGTGAAATGACATTGTTTTTGGTGTGAATATATACTACAGAAACATTTTAGAAGATTTTGGTAGAGGAAATATTTTTTGGCTTTTTTTCCTCTATATCCAATATTCATGGTATAAAAATTACTAAATTCTATAGATGCATATAGTATACTTTGAACAACTTCACCCCCTTATATTGACAATCTTCTTTTGCTCCCCTCTTTCTCAAAGTCTTTAGTAGTTTTCATCATGCTATCCTTATCTGTTTATGTACTTATCTATGCAGCTACTATCTATCATCTATTTATACACACATGCATAAATGCGTGTATATACTTCTTTCCTACCTACCCTCTCTCTCCTTTCCCCTCCACATTCCTGCTGATGCTCCTCCAGTCAAGCCTTTCGAAATGATGGCCTTGTGGATCTAAAAATAGAGAATGTATTTTGATTATTTTTCCTTTGTATTTTAATTTGCTGTTGCAGGACATTGTGTCATGTCCAGTTTTAACTATCTTACATGTATCTTTATTCGGTTTCATATAAGTGAGAAGAGCCTATTCAGAGATTTCAAAGACACCTGTTCTGTCATTACTACAGTTACTCAATATGTGTCAGTGAAAATAATGTATATGAAAACGACTATTTAAAAGCTTTAGTTATAAAACATGCAGGGTTCATTAAGTGCAGCTTGAATTTAGGCATTACCAAAATATATTTTATCTCAATGATATATAGTCAAGGAAAAATAATTTTTGTTTTTTGGGTCCGGTCATGGGGCCTGAACTCTGGGCCTGGGCGCTGACCCTCAGCTCTTCAGCTCAAGGCTAGCACTCTACCACTTGAGCCACAGCACCACTCCCGGCTTTTTTTCTTTTTGGTTATGTGGTGCTGAGGAACCGAACCCAAGGCCTCATGCATGCAAAGCAAGCGCTCTACCACTGAGCCACCTTCCCAGCCCAAGGAAAAATAATTTAAGGCTATATGATAGTGTTTAAATCATGTATACCATGCTTCAGTACTTCAAATATTAGAGTTATCAGTCATTGTATTGCTTTGATGGTTCTGTATGTATTTATATATAACTTATATTTATGCTTTCTTATATTATTAAAAATATTGTAAAATTTACTAATTTAAAATATACTCATCTTTCAGAAATAAAAGTATTAACATGTGTGCTATAAATTCTAATATCTATAATTTTAAAAAAGTCACCTACTGATAAACTACAACAACATTACTCAGGATTCAAAATATTTATATTTCAAAAATAAACAAAGTAATCAACTCATAAATTGTCTATATACTATACAATTTTATTTACTTATTTATTTATTTTTGTGATGCAGGGGATCAGAACCTTGTGCATGCTAAGCAAGTGTTCTACCCACTGAGTTATATGCGTAGCCTTCATCAGAAACTTGTGTGTGTGTGTGTGTGTGTGTGTGTGTGTGTGTGTGTGTATGTGTGTGTGTGTGTTTGTGTGTGTGAGAGAGAGAGAGAGAGAGAGAGAGAGAGAGAGGGCTGTCTCTTTTTCTTCAAAGTTAGCATTCTTCCACTTGAGCAACAGCTTCACTTGTGGCTTTCTCAGTAGTTTATTGGAGGTAAGAGTCTCATTGTACTAGCCTACCCTAGCTGGCTTTCAACTGTGGTCAGCCTGTTGAGTAGCTAGGATTATAGGCATGAGCTACTGGCATCTGGTTATTGGAAGGTTTAAAATCTTGCTATTTAATATTACCATGGAATTCTTTCTTCAATAGGTTCTATTTCTTCCCACCCTCTCCCTTGAACTCACACTACTGTTGTTCTTGAATGGGCTATTTTTTCCTATTAAGAAAATTAATCTCATTTAGAAGAGGTTCATGATTACTAAACTACTGTTTAGTAAAAACCTGTGACAAATAATTTTTAATGTGTTTTACTAATAGACTAATATTAGAATTCAGTCTCTGAATTCATCCATACATTTTCCCATGTCTTCTTTATTTTTGTACTATAGCATTTAACAATTGATAACTTGTGGACCCACGGTGCTCTCCAACTTCTTTTTATGTAACCTGAAAGTTAAGTGTGGTTTTTAAATTTTAAGTGGTTAGCACAAACCAAAAAAGAGTATTTCCCAGCATGTGAAATTTGCACATCTATAAGCTAAGTTATACCAGGATACAACATGCCCATTTGTCTTGTGCTCTTGTCTACAGCTATAGACCTGACTAGCTGCTACAGAGATCACCTAGTCATAGTCCCTGAAATATTTAAAACATGCTTCTTCACAGCAAAGGAGAGCTGTTTGTCAACTGCCATTTGACAGCAATTTCCAAAACTATTTTTAATTCTAATTTTGGGGAAACAGAGGAGGAGGCTACAATGCTTGATAAGAAACGTACTCATTATCTCGTCCATGTAATTGTAACCCCTCTGTACGGTATTTTCACAATAAAAAACAAACACGGTAGCAAGTGAACTTTTAAAATGCATGTGTGAACACTTTTTTTCAGATAAAATAGTATAGGTTTTTTAAAACTTAATTCTCACCTTGAGTATGCAAAAAACAAACACCACAAAATATTAATTTTAGGTTGTTTACAAATATACAAAATAAAAATTTGCTTGAATTTATAGTATACATTTATTAAGGCAAGGGCTATATAAAAAAAAACATTTGTTCTGCTTAAGGCATACTTGGAGTAAATCATTATACAAATTATTGCACATATGAAACCACAGTGCATAACAAACTGTATGCATAAAAAATGTTAAAGAAGGAAACCAGGTATATTTACCTGAGAATACTTTTCTGAAAGCTACATATATAATTACATTCTAAACAATCTCAACTTAGGGTTTTCTTAAAGACTACATTATTCTATTTAGCATTCATATAAAAAATGACTACATTATTCTATTTAGCATTCATATAAAAATGCCTGAATTCTGTTGCAAGATCAAATAGTCTGAGAACAGACTGATGGTAATTTTACTGTGATCTGTGTAGACTCAATAGGTCATATGTGTCATCTCCTTATGATTCTCTTTTTTAAGGCTTGCGCTCCTCTGTATTACAGAGGAGAAAAGAGACTTCAGAAAGTTATACTTTGCCCCAGATCACAATGCTTATGACATGTGGCATTTCTGGGAGTGTTAGAATCCAGGTCATTGTGACTCAAGAGCCAGTACTCTTACTTTGGAGTAGGTCTGGTTGAGGGACTATCTTTACCTATGTCAATGAAACAAATAAATCACAGTAAACAACATCTATGATGTCATTGCCGTCTCTAAGTCCTCATCACCACTGAGAGGTGGGACCACTGCAGCCCAGACTCAGCTGGTCCAAATGAACCAGGAAGCTTAAGGGTTCTGAGAACCTGGGCTGAGCTACCATAGAATCACATACAGTCTCCCTGAATTCACCTTAAAATAGTAAAGACTTCAACTCACCAAACAAAGCCCATCATCATGAGCTCTTGGAACCTTAGGATTCCAACTATATTGGGACTATAGTAAGGTTGGATCCAATTTTAGGATTGGAATTATAAATTGTTGAGGCAGTGGGACTGAAAGAATAGTTTCAGTGTCATTAACTGTCCTCTCTAGTGATTTCTCACCACATTTGTTGATACCAACTCAGAGGTTAAGATCTGTAATGTAAGGTCAAGACAGCAGCACCAATGCTTTCAAAGCTACTAAGTGCAAGTTCTCACTTTAGAAAGAAACTGACATTTGATGAAGAGAGGTCATTTCTGTTTAAAAATTGGCCCAGCTGGTTAGATGCAGGCCTGCCTCTAGAAGTTTCCCATTTGCACATTAGCTGGCATTTACTGATGGACTGGCATGCTATGGTAGGGATGAAACCTTCTAAAACAGAAGCATTAGATTTCAGAGGCTTCCCGAAGTCTATTTATTTTTAAAGCTACACATAAAATGAAATTTATAAATGAAAAATGAAAAATATCCATCTTTATACAATTGTCCATCACTATACTATGCACAAACTTTGTAGTTTTATTGAACAGAATGTATATCCAGTCTCTGAAATCCTCCATTCCATCTGAAGTCATTTCTCCTTGAAAGGTATTCAGTAATTTGTAGTAAAGTTCATTACATATAAGCTCAACAGGCCATCCTACTTTCCAGTAGATTAAATGAATGATGATTTTAGGGGAGCAATCATCCCTGTTCTGCTTTCAATTTGGCAAAATTGGCTATGAGAAAGGTCGAAGAATACAACAAACTGCCTAGTGTCAGGTGTTCAATTGTTCAATTGTTCTTTCTTTTTTTCTTTCTTTCTTTCTTCTTTCTTTTGACACATTTGCTTTCACTTGTTTTCATTTTTCTTCTTTTTATTATCTTTAAGTAGTTGTACAAAGGAGTTACCATTTAACAAATCAGTTCATGAATACAATATAATTTGATTATTCCTTTCAAGTTTATAATTCAAGATTTTTAATCTTCAAGTTTATAATTCAAGATTTTTAATCTGTGGCTTCTCTGAAGAGTTCATGAAGGACCAAGGGAAAGGAAGCTGATGGGCTTTTGATTACACTTTACAATTACCCACATTTACTTAAGTGAAATCTCCTTCTGTTCTTTTACTTCTCTGGCCAGGAAAAGTAGTGGAAGAAGTCACTTAAACTGGGCTGAAAATAGAATCTGTTGTTTTAAACCATGACAAATATGTACAAGTAGGGATACCTCTTTTTTTCTTTTCTCTTCTTTTTTTTTTTTTTTTGGTGCTGGAACTGGGGCTTATACTCAGGGCCTGGGTGCTATTAGCTTTTCTCCTTAAGGCTGGTTCTCTATCACTCGAGCCACAGCTCCATTCCAAATTTTTCTGGTGGTTTATTGGAGATAACAATATGATGGACTTTCCTGCCCAGATTGGTTTTGAACTGCCATCCTCAGATCTCAGTCTCCTGAATATCTAGGAATACAGGCTTCAGCCAACTTGCACCAGCTTCTGGAAGATACTTTTGTTGGTGATTTTTTTTTAAATATGTTGGTGAGAAGCTAGAAGCCCTCAAAACTCTTAACTGATGTCTGACAAATCGGAGGAGCTTTAGCAATTGATGGCAGAGATGGGATAAATAATGATTCATGTGGAGGCGTTTTGTACTGCTGTCCAGCTCCACCAAGTTACAAATGCTTTGTAACTAGCTGACATTTTTTCTTTTCTCTATTGATCTTTCACCCTTTTAAAGTATTGGGAAAGAGTTACACACAGAACTGAGAACATTGCTAGTCAGTGTTCAGGCCCACATTGCATGATAAAGGGGTTTGACTATTTGCTAACATCTACTGGAGGTGGAGAAGTCCTAGCAGTGTAGCACTCAGCAACAAAGAGGCAGGCCAGGGCAGAACTGCCTGCCACAGGAGGGCAGGTGTCTCTCAACTCAGTCATAAACTTCTGAATGCTTTGTTTATTCTCTACTTTGTTATTAAGTGAAGTTTCAGAGAAGTTCAATCAACTGAGAGTCTAAACCTATGTTTTTATTCATAAGGCTTTCACATAGTGGTACATGAAGTAACCCACTCACTGTACAGTTTTCTATGGCTGGGGGTTAGATCTAATGTATCAGCTACTTTTCAGATTTCTCCTCTTACTATAAGTATGCTGAGCCACTTGCTACAGAACAAGGACTACTGCCCAAGAAACAGTACCAGGACTGTTATGTTTCTTCTCAATTCAACCACATTTAGATAGCCCTCATGTAGATAGTAGAAATGTTCCAGATTGCTTTGTAAAGAG